ATTGTATATAGTATTTTTTTAATGAAATGAATAACTTTTTTTAATTGAATTGAAATCTTTACATATATCAAAGCTATCTTTTATTTATTTTCTCTTTGTTTTTTTWAGAGAACACTCTTCAGCATCTCTTTTTTTTCTGTCACAGTTAAATTAAAGTTACCTCTACAGGCGTTTCACCAATCCACAACAGCCTCTCTGTGTGTTTGCAGCAATCACTAACAAGGATCCGCGCATCGTTTTTATCTCAAAGACACAAAAGCAGCTCCTAAACATCAAATAAACGTGAACGGGCTCGGTCTAAACATGCTCGTAAAATCATTTCACGCTGAGTGAAAGTATCTGAGGTGCGTGTTTCTGTGATGGGATATCAGAGCTCTTCTGTTCTCGGCTCAGCTTTGTGTCAGCTTGGCTCCGAGCCCAGAATCCAGCTTGTGAGTGGAGAGAAATGCGCTTGTTAAATCTTGCTCAGCAGCAGCAGCACTTTCACTACCCTTTTTTTTTTCTTTTCTTTTTTAACACGCTTCTCATCTGCGGGGCTTTGAAGCTCAGTCGCGGTCCAGTGAAAAGCAGTTAGTAGGGCGAGGAGCTCACACTGCCTTAGKTAGAGGTCCAGCTCTTGTTCCAAATCTTAGTCATACAGACCTAATTTGTTTAAATAAGCCCTCCGAGGGGCTGGGGCCGCCCCTGAGGACCGGGTTCGAGGCCTGCGTTTGGGGGTTCTTCGAGCCAGCTGGAGCAGTTCGGGGCGACCGAATCCGTTCGTGAGGACGCTCTGGGCTCTCGTGACGGCGTTGGAGAGACGCCGGCTCTGCTCCTCGTCGCTGCTGTCTGACACGCTGGAYGAGCTCAGACCAGACGAGCCGTCCGCCGCTCGGGTTCGGACACCTCTGACGTCCTCGGCGCTCGAGTCGGAATTGGCTTTGCTGGACGTGGAGGTGGAGGTGTTCGAGGACGAGGCCGGGGGCTTCTTCTTCTTGGGTTTCTTAATAACACCGTTGCTCCATTTGGACCTTCGGGCCTTTTTGTAACGCTTTTTCTGACGCGCTGGAGGGAGAGGTTGGAAGGGAGTTGGGGTTTGAAGAGAAGAGGAATGRTCATTAAACAGAGCAGAAACAGGGCTGAGTGCAACTGAACCTCCACTACCGTCTACTCAATCTTCACATCTGCTTTTGACTTTTATCTTTCACTGGCAGTCTCCCTCTTGTTAACTCCTGTCCTTCCTCTCATCTGCTGCGACTCAGAGGGTTTTATCTTAAAAAAAACTCTGTCCTTGCAGCTTTACCTGAACGTCCACTTTACCCTTCAGCAAGACAGTCAAAACTAATCTAACTAGAGAAATTAACTAACTGATAGCTGCAAACTTCAAGCTGAAAGCTGCTGAAAATGTTTATTAGCAACACAGTTAAAGTGAGTTTAACTTTGAAAAGCCGAAAGAAGCATAAAAACAGCTTAACTTAGCAAAATAATAGCTTAAAAGAGCTGAAAGGTACAGCGGGTAAAAT